CAATGCTAGTGGTGGTGATGGCGATTTCTAACTGGCTCAAACTCCCTTTGTGGAAACCTGTCGCTCCTGTAGCACTGAGGCAGTACGTTTCTCTTTACTTGTGCCTCAGTGCTAAATAATCCATGCTAAGACAATTCCAAGGTCCACTGGGAGCTGCAAATTCTCAAAGTCAGATAAGAAAATATTTTTGAGGAGGAACAAGTCAGGGATTTTCCTCCTGGAGCTACATTTAGGCTTAAATTCACCAGAGTCCACCTTCTCTAGTACTGAAGATGATTTTCAGGGTAGGGAACCTGAGCTCTTCAGGTCTCTGTGCCTGGCAGTGTCCTGAATTTACTGTGCTGCTAAGCCTGGAGTCCAGCCTTTTTGTCCTTTCTGTTTTGGGAAGTGTAAGATTTTTAAAATGAACACTTCCCCAAAATATGAACTGTTCTCAGACAGTAGTGGCAAATCACTAGCAGGGATAGCTCCATTTCCCTCATACAAGTCATTATATGAAACCTGGAAATATGGAAGACATTCCTGTTAAAAGCAAAAGTGAGGTCTGATCTTTTGAGAGACCTATCTGTGCTAGAGAAGGCCAACAAGTCGAAAACATTTCCAAATGCCAAAAAGCAACATAAATGAACAAAGGCAGTAAATTAAAATGAAAACTGTCTTACGAAAAACTAATTATCAAAGAACAAATGTAAAAACAAGTTCAAAGAATCTAATTATCAATGCATAAGAGCAAAGTAAAAAAACCTGCTATCAGTATGAACAGCAAAAATGCTGCATCTTGAGCATTCCCAACAGAAGGCTGCTGAGCGCAACCAAGAAGCAGGCACTGTGCGCCATGCTTTATGCTACCACTGTAGAGCAAAAGGAAGAGCAGAATACATGCACTCTGTACAGGAACTATTAAGGCAAAAGTTTCCACATCCAAGCACACACAAGAGGTATGCATATCTAAAGACGTGCATGTGTTGAGAATCACATGAAAGAGATACGAGTATTACTTTTATCAGAAGGCAGCAAGTCCACTTGTTTTGGCAGTCATGCTCTTGGGCTCACCCATCTTACCCCGCTGCGCTTGTTGCCCAAAACTCAGTATCCCTTATTTCTCCTTATCCTGTGGAAGCTGGAAAAGCTGCCAACATCAGTTTCTAATATAACATACATTCCTGTTGACTGCTAAAATGTCAACAGGTGACGATCTGAATTTTTTCATTAGTGCTGATCTGTAATTTAACAGCGTCTGACCTTACAGTCTATCATTTGATGCTTAATTATTCTGACATAATTTTCTAGTAACCCACTAGATTGGGGAAAACAAGTAGTAAAGCTTACATGTCTGAAAATCAAACTTCGGTGCAAACTGCTTGAACATAGCAACCCATTGTCAAACATTATTTAGGTCAGTGTTAGCAAAACAGGTTTGACATTTATTACATTTGCTTTTCAAGTTTCTTCTCTAGTTATATTATCTGCCATTAAAGTTTTGCCATAATGCAAAATGACTGGCAAGACTTAAAAGGAACTGGGAGTAGATGACTGATATCTTGATGAATTGGAAATATAAGCTGAGCCAGAATTTATTTTTTTAATACTTTGGTATTTAATATTTTTCAGTGTATGACAGGTGGAGGAATGTGTATGCAAGTACTGGCAACCATGTAAGAGCAGATGATTTCAAGATCCACTAATAAAATGAATGACATTGGGCACATCTACACATGCCCCTATGGAGCCATTGTTACTGCACCATCATTTAATACTACGGCATGGCAGCAGTGCAAAGTTATTTTTAGCTAATACATCACTGTAGCAACACACTACATGAGAGGGAGTACATCATTACAGTGACAGCTGTGGTGTCACGATTCCTGCTCGTCAATGCTACGTCACCATAGCACATTGCTATGGCGATGTAGCATCACCTGTAGACGCACCCATTGGGTAGCAAAAGTTGCCACTTTTAAATTTCTGCTTGTGAAGAGAATGAGAAAAAGGGGTTAAAGAAGAGCTTACCAGTGGAGCAATGAGGTGGCAGCCCCTTTTCAACAAATAGCTGGCCTGCGCCAGGGCAGAAATCTGGTACAGAGCCCTGAAAGAGGTGGCACAGAAACCTTCCCATGGGCCTAAGGATCCGGTGAGGGCATAATGGGGCAGGAGGGGAAGTTCAGAGCCAGGAAAAGAACAGAAATTTGCTCCTTCAAGTCTGTTGCCAGGAGACAGACGGAAGGGACACCTGAAAACTAAGGTTTAGAAAGTGCTGAATGAACTGCAAGAGGCAGTCACTCCTAACCAGGAACGAAGATAAGGATTAACCTTTGCCTGCACAAGCACTTCACGTCTCAGCACTAAGCACTTCACTAAGCACTTTGTATGCCCATGAGCACTTGCTTAGAGAGTGGCCCAGTTGCACCTGATAGTTTGGGAATTAGGTAGTAGTTTGAAGTACCTGAAGATCCTATGGAAAGGTGCAATACTGATACGGCAATGTGCCCTTTAGATAAGGCTTAGATGCAACAGTAGCAAAGCTGATATATTTCATACACCAAGGGAGACAGTGCAATGTTGTGTGGCAGACATTTGGGTTGGAAGAATCAGACAAGATTAGGACGGGCATAAAGCATAGAGCAACCAGACGTTGAAGCTAGAGTCGAGTGTGACAGCTGACAAGTAACTTCCCAAACAAGGTATTTAACACAGTATTTAAGGTGTAAGGCTGGGCTGTGAGGTGAAGGTAGAGCCCCAGAATCTCACTCTAGAATGAGATTCACTGAGTTCCAGATCCAGAGAGCTGAAGGTGGGCTGTGACTGGACTGAACACCTCTGAAGTCATTAAGATCAATATAACCGCATGGCAGGCAGCTTAATCAAAACTGCAACCCCAGACTCCTGGGATAAGAAGGCACAGTGGCTTTTATTAGAGAAACGGTGAAGTAGAAGCACCAGCAAGGCAAGTAAGTAGTGTCTGAGCCAACACTGCTGAAAGCCCATTTCGATGTATAATGTAAAGGCAAGTAGTATTTGATCACAACTATTCCATCCTGAACTGAAGCCTGCTTGCTCCAGGGGAATTTCTCTTTCAAACTAAGTCAATAATGTCAGTTCATCCAATGCAATGCCTTTAAAATTATATGCAAAAATGAAATAGCACAAGTTTATTGGGCCATCAGCTAGTATACCCAAGTTCAGCAGAGCAATGCCTTTTTATATTTTCTTCACCCCCAGTTTTTGGCAGTTTTCCAGAAAGAAACATCTTAGTGTCACCAGGCAAGTATGTCTTTTTTGGAACAAGATACCTTTGATCCCCATGGGGAACGTATCTGGCATTTCCTAACCTGAGTGTTTGACTTTGCAACCTCAATATTCTTTTAAAATAATTTACTTCTCAAAGCAGCATCAGCAACAATTTGAAGTTGAAGGACAAACTCCAACACTCAAGATAATTGCTTCTAATTCTGCTACTCTGGCACCCTATGAGTCCTTAGGGAAGGTCTTAAGAGGGCTGCACTAAGTCTCAAAGAGTTTGGTCTCTGACTCTCTAGTAGTTTAACCTTATTCTGAGATAAGCTGCCAGCGCCTGAGCAATCTATGGAGCGTTCCCCTTTAATTCCCTTCAACAGCAGGAATCCTTAAATTCTAAACATAACCAACACCAAAAGAATATTCATAAATGAGAGGCATTCCATCAGAAAAAAAACACTTTTGATAATACTGCCCCCTTCTCAAGTCTGAAAGAACGCAGGTAGATGAGCAAGAATCTAGTCAGAGAACATATTTAGTTAAGTATAATTACTGAAGAGTTGTGCTACTTTCTCAAAAAAAACCACATGAACTGGATTCTTAGTTTGAGATACTAAAAAAGCCTAAAGTTTTTAATATTCTCCAGTCACAAAAATCCCTAACCTAAGGGAGACTTCCCAGGCTGCCGGCCAAGACATATGATTTAGGATAGAAAGCTTGTAGGAATGCAAAACACACATGTTGAACTACCAGAGGCATCCTCAAGAAGAGGATAATGTGAGGGGATATATTGCTAGGTATAAGTACTGGAAGATATACATTTACTGTATTCAGTTTTGGGCCCCCACTACAGAAAGTATGTGGACAAATTGGAGAGTCCAGTGGAGGGCAACAAAAGTGGTGAGGGGGCTAGGGAACATGTCTTACGAGGAGAGAAAGAGGGAACTGGGCTTATTTAGTCTGGAGAAGACAAGACTGATAACAGAGATTGAATAGCAGCCTTCAACTACCTGAAGTGGGGTTCCAAAGAGGATGGAGCTGAACTGTTCTGTGATGGCAGATGACAGAACAAGGAGCAATGGACTTAAGTTGCCTCAAAGGAAATTTAGGTTAGATATTAGGAAGAATTTTCTTACTTACAATGAGGGTAGTAAAACACTGGAACAGGTTACCCAGAGAGGTGGTGGAATCTCTATCCTTGGAGGTTTTCAAGACCTGGCTAGACACCGCTTTGGTTGGGATGATCTAGTTGGCAATGGTCCTGCTTTGAGCAGAGGGTTGCACTAGATGTTGTACTAGATGCTCTTCCAACCCCAATTTTCTATGATTCCTTGGATTAAGCACAAATTCCAGCATTGGACCAAATACTTGAAAAGTGGTCTAAAGAGACTTGAATATACCATGTATCAGTAGTCTACAGGAATGTCATGCTCCAAGGAAATATTGCTCAAGAAAGGACAAATGGCATACAGATATATAGGTTAAGTCTCACAACTTTACACGAATGGAACATGGTGAAGGTAATTCTCAGTTACCACCAAGGAAGTGTTTTAAGTGGAGATGCTACAGGCTAGAGAATACCCATCAGGAATCCAACAACAGTGAAAGAGTGCCAAGCGGATTCAAGTGTGTCATTATAAACGACATTAATGTTATGCTATTAGTAATACTGTATAAATGTTTTGTTAATAAAGTATATTTTGTTAATACATTTTTGTTCCAGTGAGGATTTGGTGAATACAGAAGATTGGCCCAAAACATCTTACCTCGTTTCCAGCAGATCTCATTGCCGTAAACATGGAGTAATGTTCTCAGAAAATCCTTTGCATTGAAGCAAACAACAGTACCTTTACACTGTAGTATTTGAATTAATATTTGTCTGCATAACAAAAATAAATTCACTAGTTAAATATTTAGTGTCAAACTACAGAATGTAAAATAAAATTGTATTTGGATAAATATTTATAAAATGCAGGATTACACTGAATATGAACAGAAATGACAGTTAAAATTAAAAGATTTCTTATGTCTGGTCAAACATGGTAACTGAAGCTAAGTGGTTTTGTTCAGTTAATATTATGCAACTTGCACATTCTCAGAATAGTCTTTTGATACACAGACTTGCAACTGTTGGGAATATATGCTCTATTCTTCATACATGTAAAGAGGATGACCCTCTATATTTAAGTGCAAAGTTCAATGCAGTTTCCATATGTCGCCACAATTTACCAGTACAAAAGGTACTGAGCGAGCATGATCTTCTGACTTTGTCAGTCATATTTATTGAGTTTAGTTACTGAAAGCTTCAAATTATCATTTTTTCTGCACAGCACTATATGCTATTTAAAAATAGTTTGCTTGTTACTACAAGATGTTTTGGAAATGGTCCCATGTTTTCCCCTCTTCCTCAACATATTTACAGTTCATTTGCTATTTTATAATTTAAAAATATATAACGCACATATTTAAAAAACAAAGATTTATGTAGACTTTGCTATGGTCAGAAATGGGGTGTCAATAAAGAGACTTCTCATGAATAGTAAATTGTATTTAAAAGTAAACAAAGATTAAATAGCAGATTAACAGCAATAGATTTTGTTAAAATGTTAAAGATTCTCATACATCAGCATAGTAGCAGAGTAGAGAATAACCCCTAATTTCTCTGTTAAAAGAAGAATTGACAAGTTCCTTTTAACTTTTTGTTCAATCATAACACTACATAGCTCACAACAGATCTCAAAAGCAAAAGATGCATATATGAAGCACTCCAAATTCCACTCCAATTTGGAGCACCAGAGATTGCCAAGGACATTTAAGTACACATGGAAGTACTCGTTTAATTGTCTGCCTTGCTTTTTGCCCGCTATCCCACAGGGAAAAAGGGGGAGAACAAACTACTCCGAGATGCTAGAGGACCAAGCAACCCCCTTTCAGGCTCCACTTGAGCATGAACATGCATCTAGAAGCAGAAAGCTACTGTTTCATTCAGCGTCATTTTTGGAATGCTTCAACCATTTTTAGAGCACTTCACAGGGCACATGCGTCTGTCTGCTTGTCATTTAAAATACTTCAAATGTTATGTCTGCCCAGGGACCGAGTCATTAGTGCTCCTTAGCAAAATTCTAAAGAATTTTTAAAATTTGACTATTTTCTTTTGTTTTATTAGAATCTCAATTCCTCTCCCCGCCATCATATAACATACTTCATACACTGGAATCAAGGAGTAAGGACTGGGAGATGCGACCTAATCCTGGAAGAGGTCAGAAGCCATAGGAGGGGCTTAAAATATTTTTAGAAGATACAAGAACAGCAGGGCAGTCTGGAAAGCATCTCTGCAAAGTGTATACCAATACAAGAAACATGGGGAACAAGCAGGCCAAAATGAAAGCCATAGTACCTAAAAAGAACTATGACTTAACTGGCATCACAGACTTGGTGGGATAATTCCCGTGACTGGAATATGCACATTGTGAGGCATGCTTTGTTCCTGAATGACAGGTATGGAAAACGCAAAGGAGGCATTGCATGTTATGTCAAAAATGTATAGACTTTTTGAGGGTAGAGCAGTAAACTACATCTGGATAAATATGAAAAGAACAATAACTTAAAGAAAGTACCAGAGAACTTTTGAAAAAAAATTAAATTTAAGGTAACAGGGTGTGTTGTATTTCATGTCAGGGTGCTAAGGGAGCTAGAGGAAAACAACTTAGTCATTGGCAATATTTGCACATTCATGGATGACAGGCAGGATTGCAGAAGTGTGAAGAGGTATCACACTGCCCTCCCCACCTCATCTTCTATTGTTTGTTTCTGTCAAGGAGGACCTGGGAAAATTATAAACTAGTTGGTCTGACTTTTAACACTTGGAAAGTTAGAACAAATTTAAAAAAATCAACTGGTAATATCTGGAGGGCGAAGGGATGATTGCTCGTTTTAGCTCATCAGACAAGCTTTAGTTTAAACACCTCTGCCACCATTTGGAAGCGAGGGGAAGCTGACACATGAGACGCCATGGAGCTTTCTAAATTAAAGTGCCCTACCACCACCCCTGCAGCACATGTAAGAGTGCCCAGAGGTACTAAATGTAATGCACATGAGCAGTGGCAATATGTAGAGGGTACACTGGGGTGCACTTGCACCCCCTGAAAGCACTAGTGCACCCCCTTACTGGCCACGCTCACCATTCAGGCAATGGGCAGGGGGGGCCACGTGGGAGTGCCGGTACACCCCCTGCAAGTGCTGGCCGGGGATTGGGAGTGCTGCGGCCACTTCACAATCAGCTGTGGGGGGACCCTTCAGCCCAGTAAGATTGACCACATAGGGACCCCCTCCCCGGGTCGCTGACTGGTTGTTGGGGGATGCACATGCCCTCCCCGACTAAGGTAGCACCAGTCGCCCATGCAGATTAGGAAAAGTGCATTAGTGATATATTGAGAATAGGCACATACTTCACATAAGCAGACAGTTGCACTAGGTGACCTTTGAAGCCCACGGATCCTATATGATTTCCTTTCAAATAAAATTGCTTTTAATTAAATTAGATTAATTGGGCATTTAAAAGAGATAAATGAAATCTTTACAAATTTAGCATTCTAGCAAAGATGTACACAAGTGATTATGCCTTATCTAGAGCTGTTTCATAACACACATCCAACATCTGACCTATAAAAAGATGCTATTACCTACTATAGAATATCCTCTAAAATGTCAAAAACTATAGAAAAAAAGTGTTCAAGAATTTAAAAAAACTCTGCATTTCAAAGAACTGTGCTACAGTCGTGTTCATTTGTTCTCCATAAGAACGTCCATGAAAACCTACCATAAATTAAAACAGTACCTATAAGCAAAAAAAAGTAAAACTGGACAAATCCTACATACCATTGTAGAGTGCTGAACAAGTCAACATTAATATTATTAAAAACAGACATATGGAGCAATTTTTGTAAATGTTCTCTCACCGACTGTATTGCTTATGAGCCTGTTCTTCTTGTCCCCATACAGAAGTGTGCTCTAGCTTTAAATAAACAAGCTTATCATTCCTGTCACAGGTATCCAAGGGATTAGCAATGGAACATCCACTGGAAGGGCAAAGGTGGTCTGACTGACTTTTCACTAATACAGCGATTCCTTTTACTGATGAAGTTAAATCCTATAGGTATAGTTGGTTAAAGTTAGGAACATTTTGTATAGTTAATTTTTATGCAATTCTATATGAAAAATTCAATTTTCCCATAAATTTTAGGAGATGCTATCTGCCACTTGCACTAGATTTATCAAACATACATGTAATGATGTGTGCATTTCTGTTACAGTAACAATCAGGATTCCCAGTGCTGAACGAGGCTCCCTAAACATTCACAAGTACAGACAAAGGCAAAAAGCTTGCAATCTACAAAATTGAGAGTGTCGGCAACTGGCTAATTTTGGCTGATGTGGCTGATAAATACCCCATGCATGTGCATAGCTGCAGGCAGCCAGAAGTGCAGCCAGGTTGGGTTGGTAAGTCTGTTGTGGGGGAAGGGGCATGGGGGGGCGAGACAGATAAAGGCCCCTGCAGCGAGGAAGGGAGTGGGGCTAGGGCACAGGATGGAGATTTGAGCAGCTTGTCCAGGGGGTGCAGGCATTTCCTGCTGCTGCACACACCCTAGGACAGCACGAGGGAGGGGGTGTTTGCCCAGCTCTGTGCAGGGTGAGGGCAAGCTGCTGCTGCATGCTGGGGTGGCGCCAGGCTCTTCCTGGCAGGGGCTGGGCAGGGCTGCACTCAGGTTGGGTGGCAGCGGCATTAGAAGAGGGGCTACGGGGGGGGGGCGTGAGAGGGA